AGCGCGAACTGATTTGACTTATATCACATGATTTGAAAGCATGTTCACTGTTTACTGGAAACTTTTAAAATGAACTGTATTGTATAGCTCGTCACTGCTTCTCAGTTCCTTATTTATTTCTGTTACTTGTTGAGTTGGTTGTACTCACACTATACCATGCACTACATGTGGAGATCCAGGTGTATCTGAGCACGGAGATTGTTGAGTCCAGGCCTGTTTGAGTTTTGGAGATTGCAAGGTAGCCAGCGTCCGCAGGACCTTGTTACTCCTTCCATATTTCTTTTCATTTTGTACTGATATTTAGACATTGACTGTAATAGTTTTAAATACTTAGACGTTCATGACTAGTGACACTCCGATGTTTGGGGCTGGTTTTTGCATTTTGATTATATATTGAGTTCAATTTTGATTTTATGAAAAATTCCTCATATGGAAAGCTTTACTTTACTTTTATATTTAGTTTGGAAGTATTTTTGGGAAGGTCGGCTTGCCTAGTACCACCGATATGCACCATTATGACGGGTTAGGTTTTGGGTCGTGACACCATTACGACCTTTATGGACTTTGGGTAGTGAAACAAATGACGAACGGTTTGAAGCGTTAAAAACTAGACTCGAAGACCTTTAATTTTATAGGTCATCCATCACATAACACCTTATATATATAGATATGCTCGTCCAAAGTTTGGTCTTGTGCGTACTCATTTGGAACTTTAGTCTATCATGAAATTTCCAACTTGACTTGGACTTAGGGCTCTCCTTAGACCCCACACCACTTATAATATGCCTCGTACACTTATTATCATATTCAATTGATATCCATTATATTAATAGTCCTTGTCTGCACACAAAATAATATAATGAGCGCACATCAACTTACTTACTAGCGCTCAAGTACTTCGATATTTTCCGGGGTGTTACAGTTACCCTCTAAATTATCAAAATTTATCTTTTTTTTATTTTTTAAGATTTTTAATATTACAAAAAAAATTCTATTTTTTAAATATATTATATACTTACCTTAGAATAAATAAATTTTATTTATAAATTAAAAAATAAAAAAAGGTATTTAAGCTAATGTTGGAATAACAAAATATTGAGCATGGTAGAAAGTTAATTAGAACAATTTATTCGTAATAATAATTTTGATATTAACATCAAAAATTCAAAAGTTTATTTACACAATTGAGAATGAAAGAAAATAAAAGTGTTAAAATATATATTCCATGCACGTATTATAGAAAATAATTATTTAAAATAAAGGTACTTTTATAATATACAGTATATATTCTTAAAAATTATGCCCAATTATGTTATTATTCCGACATTATATATGCTAGAAAAATAACTTTTTATTTTTTTATTTTTAAATAAAATTTATTTTTTCTATAGATAAGCCCATAATGTTGATTAAAAAAAGAAAAAAAAAATTGTATTAAAAAAGTAAAAAAAAAAGAAAAAAGAGAGCAAGATAAAAGTTGATAATTTAGAGGGTAAAATAGGTATTCGACGATCAAAAGTTTGAGAAATCTGGTTGAGTAACTTTTTGAGTGCTATAGACATAGTTAAGTGACTTTTCTATTACAAACGAAAGAAATATGGCTTTACAAGATAATTTCGAATAGTTGAGTGACCATTTAAGTAATGGGCTCTCATTCTAAACAGGTAAAAACTTACCCGCACCAGGTGTTTATACTCATCCAATAAACTAATAACACATGTCACATTATTTAACTACAAGTATTAGTCTTTAATCATAGTTAATTACCATGTATTTTCCATATCATCTTAAACAATAATATTAAAAATACTTAATCGAGTCTTGCAAAGCTCCGGTCTAGATCTGTAACGTTAATGAATGACGACAATAATTTCTTGTTTACTTTCTGTGCCATCACTGGCCTCTACAAATACAAAAAATTAATTTTTCTTCTACTAGGGTAACGATCATTATTTATATATAGATTTTAACTTTGAAAAATATATTAAACATTTTAAACTTAACAAAGAAGCATTTACTTTAGTATACTCTCAGTGGAACACATATGAAGATTAACAAATGAAAAAACTTTACGAAATAGAACTTTGCTTTGCACAGTTATATTGTTTCAGCATTTACTTTAGCATACTCCTTTTGATGACGCAAAACTTTAGAAGTAGATCCGATCGAAAATAAAAAAAACGCCATAAGAAGACATGAATAAAAGAAATAAGAACTAAAAGAACTTACAACAACCCTGATTCTTTTTAATTTATCTTAGTATGACTTAATTCTATTTTTTATTTTTTATTTATTTAAAATAAGACTCCTAATAGACCTTATATTGTGTTCTATGGTTAGCTTAACTACATTAGGTAAATACCCGGAGGGTAAGTTTTTACCTTCTAAACATCAATTACTGTACTTCTTTGTTCCAATAACAGTGTACAGTAATATATATTAACATAACCTCTTTAGTCCTTTTAAATACGGCAGCTTTTTCATTCTTATACTAAGTAATTAAATAACTAATACACTTGACAGTGTCACTTCCATCCATGTCAACTAAAAAAACAAGAAAAAACAAAATAAAGTGAATCTATTCTGGCAATATGATTGAACTGAAGCACAGTAGATTTCATGCAAGAAATTGCAATGTAAGAGAACATGAAGGACCTTCTATAAGCAGAACGACAAAAATTGAGCTATATATCATGCTTTGAAAGAAAAGGAGGTACCCTTCAAAATGATACTTTTATAGAAAAGAATTTGTTTATTTATACATCTTTTCATGTGCCTAGACTCAAGATCAAACTCTTAAATAAATCTAGTGGATAAGATGTTTATATAAGTCCTAGACTTTGTTTTTCTTTCTAAATCCAGTTCAGCTGGCAATATTTGTACTATTCACAAACATGTGGTTTTGTGAGTTATCCCAATTAATATTGCGGTGGTGGAAAATTTCTCCCACTTGGAAACTATGCATCCTTTTTCCCTAAATCCGAGCATTCAGCTGGCAAGACTTACAATCCATAAACATATACTTGTGTGAGGTATCTTGATTAATATTTGTGTTCTAGTAATTTCTCTCACATGGCGGCTAAATAAGTTTACAGATGGACTTTCCTAGTTTTCATGGTTCTCATGTGTAGAGTACTAATGTGATTGAAACTATTATTGTGTAATCAATAAGTGCAGGACTAGATTAACAATACTAGACTCAAAATATTCGGAAACCTAAGATGATGTAATTCTTAATTACTCAAATAAAATCAAAATTTTTGGGATTGCAACTATAAAGATGCCTGACAGTTGTAAGTCAGCCAGGAATCAAAGACGAGATTAACAATACTATAATCAAAATATTCGGAAAAACTCAAAGGAGACTTTTCGTTTTAAGTATTTATAAATATTGATGCGTCTACTATTGCACAACTACGTACGGAGCTACTTGACTGTTGGAATTGAGCCAAATGATTAAATGAATAAGAGGGGCTGCTCAGGTGGTCAGCACCCCACACACAATTTCATAATCGTGGGTTTGAGTCAACAAAGAAGTAATAGCTCCAACAGAGGGGGATCGAACGGGAATAAAAAGAATTTCAAACATGAGGTTAATAATACTAAAATCAAATGATCCGAAAGATAATTAATTATTAGCTGCCAAAGGGCAACTAAGGAATTAGGTATTAATATCTTGCAAAAAACTATTCTCTCCGGTCCATAATAAGTGTTCATTTTATCTTTGGCACACCCATTAAGGAAATACAAATTCCTAGAGAAAAAAAAGATGTATTCACTAAATTAACCTTAATTAATTGTTACCTTGACACATTGGAATATGTAAATAAGGGCAAATTTTGGAATATAAAATTAATTTCTTCTTGATTATGTAAATGGACACTTATTTTGGACCAAAATAAAAAAGTAAAATTGTCCCTTATTGTGGACCTTATGGAATAATAAATTTGAAATTACTGGAGTGGTGGTCATTGACTAGCTTAATGTACAAGAGGGGCACGAAGAATGCATAATGGTGTTGTAAGCTAATCTAAAAATCCAACAAAAATTTAAGAACCTTTGCATCATCTTTTCCTATGAGCTAAAATCACATTAACTCCAATTTGCTTGCTGAATATTGTCTCCGTCATACTATTTCCTTCAACAAGATAATTCCGGAACATAGTCAATCATAGATTATGCTTCTTTGTATTATACAGGACCTGATTTTTTTGCCTTTTTGTTGGACACATAAGTTTGAATAATACTTACGTTTCACTAAATATCTCGAACGTGCATCCCTTCTGATAAAGAATACGAGTCAGTAAGTGGATGCATCAGTGACGGACCAAGGTGGTGGCTAACGGGTTCAACTGAACCCGCTTCGTCAAAAAATAATACTGTATATATGTATAAATTAGAATTAAAACTGTGTAAATTTTGTATAAATATTTTATTTGAACCTACTTGACAACTACTATTTTACGACTAAAGTTATGTACTTTTAAAATTAAACCCGCTTGCACAAAATCCTGAGTCCGCCGCTCGATGCATCAAAGACTTCTACCAAAGATAGGAGGCGGAGCTAGGATTAATGTGCAGAAAATCTTGACCAACGGCCGGTAGCCCAAACTTGTATGGCATGCTAAGAATGCACAATATGTACTTCTGTTGCTTCTTTTTTTTTTTGCACATTAATATTGTTCTTTTCAGATTTCATGCGTTACTTTGGTTCCTGACTTCTGCCAAAAATCTGGAACGTGCATCCCTTCTAATGCACGTCAAAGATGAAAGGCGCAGCTAGGATTTGAAGTTTATAAATTTTGAATTTACAATCGAACACATAGCAACATAATGAATTTCTAAATACAGATACAAGCTATAAGTAAAATTAAAAGAACAATAGAGCAACATAAATTCAAGATTTATTTTAATCCAGATAAGAGCATTCAATATTTGTTCTGCAAAGCTGTAATGAAGTTGACAAAATGATACATTTATAGAACATGTACCAAATTAAATTGTCCACATGAATATTTTCTTATTCTAGAATAGTAGTCTTTGTAAAACTTCAAAGTTCAAATAACCAGCTTAGATTATTATTTTTCAGCTGATTAACATACACATGAAACCCTGTATGCACTCTGGTCCTCTTCAGCTATAATAAGTTCGATAAGGTGGAATACTTTGTTCATTTTTGAAAAAATTGCTGGGATCCACCTTACTCTTTACTTTGGCCAATCTCTCAAAGTTGCCCTTGAAATACTTTTCACCCCAGATTTTGGCCTTGGAATAGCTGTAGTCCTCTTCATTAGTTCCAAAATCAAGGTCCCTGTAATTCAAATAAGCAGTTCTTGGAGATTTTGCAACAAATGGCTCCATTTCCTTGTAAAGTTTCCTAATCCATGCTATCTTCTGGCTTGATACACTCTCACTATTATCACCCCAGTTGACCAAATACTGAATATTATACAAATTGTCCTTTCTATGTGGGAATGGAATTTCAGATTCTGAAATTTCATCTAATTTTCCACCTAATGGCTCCAAAATTATCTGGGGTCTTTCTTCTTCCAAAAACAGTCTTTCTACTATTTCCCAACCATTTTCAGGAATTGGACTCTTCACAAAATCAGATGTCCCTTTGTTATAGTTCTTCTGTGTTGGAATTGTCTTATCTAACAGAACTTCAAGTGATTCATTTGGTTTCCTAAAAAAGAAATACAGGACTGACCCGATCCAGGGAACTTCATAGCATTCTTTCTCTGCATTAACAGGATCTTGGAAGCAATCTTTTTTCTCCAAATCAAACTCAGGGAATTTTTCTTTAAGTAATGGAATTAACTCATCAACTGGTCCAACATATAGTGCTTGAAAATAGAATTCCAAAAACTTTTCATCATTATTTCCTGTTCTACCATTTTGAATAATAGCTCTAATGAACAAATCTTCAGGTAGCTGATGTGATATATTTTGCCATTTTTGGAGAAGATTTTTGTTACCCTCTAACTTCCTACGAATTGTGAAAACAGTAACCTTTTCAGGAACACGAACAAGTTTGAGTTTCCATGCAAGAATGACACCAAAACTTGCTCCTCCACCTCCTCTTATTGCCCAAAACAAATCCTCTTTCATTTTCTCTCTGTCAAGGATTTTTCCATGGACATCCATTACACGAGCGTCTACAACATTATCAGCTGCTAGGCCAAACTTTCTCATCAGAGCGCCGAGGCCACCACCACTGATGATTCCACCAGTGCCAATACTAAAGCAAACTCCTCCTGGAAATCCATGCACTTTACTTTTCTTGGCAATTGCATAGTAAAGCTGGCCAAGGGTCGCCCCAGCTTGAACCCAAACTGTTTCGTCCTTGAGATTAATCTTGATTTTGTTAAGACTGCTTAAATCAAGCATAACAAATGGGGATTCAGAACGATAAGATATGCCTTCATAGTCGTGGCCACCACTTTTTATTTTGATTTGCAAGCCTAGTTTTTTACCACAAAGGATAACAGGCTTGATTTCTGATTCTTTCCTAGGGGAGACAATAAAGAGGGGATGTGAAGTATTCAACCATCTGGGGTTCTTTTGAGCGTATTCCAGGATAGATGAATAAGTTGGAGTGTTTGGGGTGTAAATGTTTTTGGTAATATTGTTTTTAGAGTATTTGGAAACACAGTGGAGAAAGTCTTGTTGGGAGGAACATTTTAACAAAAAGAATGAAAAAATTAAAAGAGAGAGAAATTGAAGTCTGCCCATTTCTTTTCATGCAAGAGATTGCTATAAAAAAGAATTAAGAGTACTTTCTAATGCGAGAATGACAAAGAATGAGCTATATCATGCTTTGAGGGAAAGAAGATGAATTTGCTCGTGAGTACCGTTTCAAATAATCTACATTTATACAGAGGAATTTGGTGTATTTGAGTGACTGATAAAAGAAATTTAATGTATTTGAATGCATATTAGTTTCTGACTTTATTCAACAGTTTGACTTTGACCCAAAGCACGTTAAGATACAGACATCTAAACCGGGTTTTCAGTTGGCAAGATTTGTATTATCCATAAAAATATACTTTGATGTGGTATAGTTAATATTGGCGATGGGAAATTTCTTCGAATTGGACTTTTAAAACATAAATTGACTTTGCTGATGTCATTGAAGTTGTAACAGAGGGAAAAATATATCGAATGGCTATCAACGGTTCATCGTTGGCTTTTCCACATTGTTGGTCTTATATTACTACTACTCTATAATTAATAATTGCACGGCCAGCTCAAGATATCAAATTAATTCTATTTATTACTACCATTAATTAGGCGTTTGAAACATGCACATAAACAAAACATTTTCACAAACGTCCAACAAAAGAGAGAAGCAAGATTAATCTCTCAAATTAATTATGTTTCTTATGACTACTAATTAGGGTGACAGCTTTAAATCCTAAATTAATTGTTTTTAAGTATTAATACTATTAACTAGTACTATTAATAAGGTGCTATCAAAGTTAATTCTTTCGGTTAGATACTTACTCTAACTATTTAATTATTTTATTAGGAACATTAGGTCTAGCAATTATCTATTTGATTTATATACTAGTAGTTCCTTTTCCAAGCATTTCGGTAGAAACTGTTTCATTTTGTAAGTTTAGTATTTGAGTTATAACGTATCAATGATCTCGTTCATCTCAAGTTTTTCAAGGTTATTGAAAAGAAATTGAAACGACATTAACTAAGGGAGTGCCTGGAGCAACATATTGACATTTCGATCATAGAAGATAAAATAGATTGTTTAGAGCAAAGTAAATTGTCTCATAGAACTTTAGAATTTCTAAGAAAATATCTATATTTACTTAAAGAAGACTGAAATGAATATTAAATTAGAACAGAGAGAATGTCAAGCAAAACTAATTATCAATAGAACAGTANTATATATATATATATATATCTCGTAACACATTAGTTCGTCTTGAGGGTAGGTTTATAGGAAAATCCCATCTAAGTAACTGAAAGGATAGAAGTTTTAATATTTCTACTGCTATTGTCTAAACTTTTCTAACATGTGAATATATAGAGATAGCTGAAAGATACTCATAAAGTTTAGATAGATAAAACCATCTCTATTTTGGTGATTATTGTGGATTTGGAAATTGTTCCTACCACCTTGTTTTTCTAATATGATGAGAAGACTAGAGTTTGTTAGCTTTGGAAAACACAAACTAAACAGGCAATCATAGAAAGATTCTTCACTTTCTGATAAAGAGTATGTGTGTTTGATTCATATAGCAAATATTTCTTTTTGCTTGTGAATATGAGGCTGATTGCATTTTGATAACCATCCATGTAAAGTACATTTGTATTGACTTTTGCCTTTGTAGATACATTTGCAATAAGTTACATATCAGAATAACTGTAATTCAGGTGGGATGTAAACACTTGCCCATCTTTCATCAACTAAATTTGTCAGTCCTGTTATAGCAAAAGGTGGAATGCTTTGTTGGTATCTGAAAAAGTTTTCTGGATCTACCTGACTCTTCACTTTAGCCAGCCTCTCAAAGTTGCCTTTGAAATACTTTTCACCCCAGATTTTGGCCTTGGAATAGCTATAGTCTTCTTGGTTAGTCCCAAAATCAAGATCCCTATAGTTGAGATAGGCTGTCCTAGGAGAATTGGCAACAAATGGCTCCATTTTCATGTAAAATTTTCTCATCCATTCTATCTTTTTCCTCGATACACTTTCACTGTTATCGTCCCAATTCACTAAGTGCTGAATGTTGTACAAATTTCCTTTTCTATGAGGGAAAGGAAGTTCTGATTCTGAAATTTCATCCATCCTTCCACCAAATGGTTCTAATATAATCATAGGTTTGTCCTCTTCAAGAAACAGTCTTTCTATCATTTTCCATCTGTTTTCCGGAATTGGAGTCTTCACAAAATCAGATGTTCCCTTGAAATAATTCTTATATACAGGAATACTGCTATCCAACAAAACCTCAAGTGATTCGTTCACTCCTTTATTGTACAAAAACAAGACAGATCCAATCCAGGGAACTTCATGGCATTCTTTCTTCAAGCAAGGTTTCTCAGTGCAATTTATTACTGGCTCTTGGAAGAAATCCTTGTGCTCCAAATTAAACTCAGGGAAGTTTTGGTTTACAATTGGAATTAAATCACTAACTGTCCCAAGAAATAGTGCTTCAAATGTGACTTTGACTTTCTTTTCCTTTCCTGCTCCATCATTTTGCATAATCATTCTTAAGAAGAACTCTTTAGGCAGTAAATGTGCTGTATGTTGCCATTGCTGGAGGAGATTTATAGTATTTCCCACGAGCATTCTATGAACCCTGAAAACAGAAACCTTCTCAGGGACATGAACAAGTTTGAGTTTCCAAGCAAGAATGATTCCAAAACTTGCACCTCCACCTCCTCTTATGGCCCAAAAAAAGTCTTCTCCCATTGATTTTCTGTCAAGGATTCTTCCATTAGCATCCATAACACGAGCATTGATAACATTATCTGCTGCAAGCCCAAATTTCCGAATGAAAGAACCTAGTCCTCCACCACTAATTAGCCCACCACTTCCAGTAGTAAAGCATATGCCTCCTGGAAATGCATGTAGTCTACTTTTCTTTGCAATTTCATAGTATAATTGTCCCAATGTCGCCCCTGCTTGAATCCAGGCTGTTTCTTCCTCCAAGTCAATGTTGATTTCATCAAGATTACTCATATCAATCATGACAAACGGGGATTCGGCACGAAAGGAGACACCTTCATAATCATGACCACCCCCTAACACTCTAATTTGCAGACCAAATATTTTGCTGCAAAGAATAGCAGGTCTAAGTTCAAATTCTTTACGAGGGGCAATAATGAAGAGGGGATGTGCAGATGAAGAATTTAACCATCTTGGGTTTTTCTGGGCATGATCTATAATAGATGAATATGTTGGTGATTTTGGAGAATACACAACTCCTGTGATGTTACTTTTGGAAAATTGACTAGAAATACAGTGGAGAAAGGTTTCTTGGGTATAACATTTTGACAAAAAGAATGATAATAGAAGAATAAACAGAAGTCGAAGGTTCTGCATTCCTTGTCTCTGCAGTGACATGTTTTAACAAATCAAATGTACCTCAAGAGAGGAATAAGAAAGAAAGTACACCTGAAAGAAGAACAGATAAGAGGACTTTTGTAGCAAAATGACAGAGAGTAAGCTATGATTGTCTCATGATGAAATAGAGATGATTCTATCTTTGATTACCCTTCTACAAGGTCCAAGTAAAATGTTCCTGTGTTGCCATTTTTGGTTCTTTTTTATGGAACTTATTTAAATCGTCGGCGAACATAATGCAAACGAAGCAAGTCGATCCAGTCAAACTACAGCTGTCAAGAATCTTGGCCACCAGCAAACACATGCGTTCATCTGCCATTTAGTAAAGGCCTTAAACCTAGAGATTTTTAAATAGAGGGTAACTTATAGACCGTGCTAAAAAATTAAACTATCACATTTTAAAAAAAAATTAATTATATATAATCATTCTTAATAGTGATATTAAAATCTAAATAATAAGGCAAATTATTTGTTATAGCATGTTAAACTACACACTTAATATAAAATTTTACACAATTAGTACATATAAATGAACATCAATATTATGCATGTCAGCAAACATGATTAGCTGGCAAGAGGATATTATATTGTCTGATTTTTATAATAAAAACCCATTTGAATATGGTAGTAGTATAATTGGAGCACGTGTGAAGTTTAAATAGTTTTCCAGTAGCAGAGTTTTTTATGAAGAGATGGGGACCATGATTGAGATTGCGATCCTGGAATTGTGCATAAGTTGGTCAATTTTGTGTTAATCTTATTTGGATTCACAATTCCTTACTTTTTTCATGGATTTAAATATGGAGTAGGTACAAGAGGGGCAAATAGAAAAGTCGATGCACTCTATTATTGATTAAGATTTGTTTTAGTGCAATCATGGCAGTCTACACTTTTTAATTGTGTTGTGCATTCCTATCGATGTATTTTTACATTATTTTTCTTAAATTTGTTTTACTTTTTTGATTTATCTATGAGATTAGTTTGAAATTTCATGTGAGAATATACGAGTTCATTTTTTTTCTTTGTGATCTATTCGTGAGATTAGTTTGAATCTGTAAAGAGAGTCGCGGGATTATTTGCACCACAACCCCTTGGATCTCTCCTTACCCCATACTTTGAAAATCCAACTTGGTTTGGTTAAAGTTATTGTTTATCTTATATATTTCTTGATTATTAAGTATTGAAAATTTACTCAAATAGCTTTTCATCTAATTTCTTAAACTTAAAATAGTCAGCGGAGGTATAATATATATATATATATATTCATGTACAATATATATATAACTATGTATAATCTATGTATACCGATTAGAAAAAATAAACATTAAATATGGGCAACTATATGTATAATTGCACGTTGATGACTTACTTTTTAAAATAAAGTTTATTTAGAGAAGCTACATGAAAAGTTGTACGAGTAATTGAAATGATAATATATAAAAATTATGAATATTGAATAAATCCTTGAAATTGTTTAGTAAAAACTAAAGTTGTTTGAGTCATCAAACAGTAGTAATGGCGTGTTAAATGGGATAAAGAAAGTACACTTTGGCACTCCAAATTGCTCTTTAAATATAAGCAAAAATTACATAACGCGTCAAATATATACTGCTTTATGAAAATTCATCTAATTACAACGGATGAAATTCAAAAATAGTCATATTTACAAGTGGTAATTGAAAAATAGCCACAATTTCAAATTAATTAAAATTTAGCCACTTTTCATGTAAAGATAAATCTGAACGAAAATACTGTTCAAAATCTGGAAAATATTTCCCGCATAATATACTGGAGTTCCAGCATAATATACTAGATTTTCAGCATAATATGCTGGAAGTCCATACACAGGTGCTCCAATCTCCAGTATATTATGCTGGAACTTTTCGTGTGTTGGAGTTCTAGCATAATATGCTAGAAGTTCATACACAGGTTGTTGGCATCAACAATCTCGAGAGTTCCGCATTTGGGGCTAATTCGAAGTCTGGTAAGGGAATTTGGGGCTAACTTGAAGTCTGTCGAGACATCTAGACTGAAGACTAAAGACTTGTGTATTGGGACACATACTAAAAAGTATTTATTCATTGAGCCACATGCTAAAGAGAGTTTATGTATTGGGCCACAAGGTCTGCTGGTTCAACACAGCCCAACTCATAATCAGAAAAAGACAAGCCATTTAGTTCAAATACAAAATAGTTGTAATACAACTTTAGATTCCAGAATATACCTCTAACGGTATATAGAAAATTATACATAGTATATTAGTACATATAGTTGTATTTTTTGTTTATATTAGATAGCCAATACATAGGAGACAAGTGTAGGTTTAATTTTTTGTCCTTATCTATTGAATATTTGTATAAATATCCTTGTACAGATTGAATGGAACACAAAGAAAAATTCTCAAGATTTTGTAGCTCACTATTTCTACATGGTATCAAAGCACTAGCTCTAAGATCGATCCTATTATCTTTCTCTTCATCAGTTTCTCTTTTTTCCTTCATTTTCATTCTTCAATCTTTAATCTTCAGTGGGTTCTACACCTGAATCTACTGAGGCCACTTCAATAAATATCACCAATTCTGGGAATAATAGAGGTGGAATAAATGACTCAACCCATCCCTACTTTCTTCACCCCTCTGATTCACGAGGAATGAAGTTGGTAAACACAAGCTTTGATGGTAGAAGCTATGGAGGGTGGCGCAGATCCATCCTTATAGCTTGTTTTGCCAACAACAAGGTAGGATTCATTGATGGTACCTGCCTTGCACCAAGCTCAGAAACACCTGACTTTAAACTGTGGAGTAGGTGTAATGACATGATGATATCTTGGCTATTGAACTCTCTTTCGAGAGAAATAGCTGATAATGTCATATACTCTCAAACAACCAAAGATCAGTAGGATGATTTGGAAGACAGATTTGGTCAGTCAAATGGTGCAAAGATGTATCATTTACAGAAGCAATTGAGTGATTTAATCCAGGGGTCAAGTGAAGTAGCAGGCTATTTCACTAAGATAAAGAGATTGTGGGATGAACTGGATACCTTGAACACTCATGTCAAGTGCTCATGTGAGTGCAATTATGGAGGAAAAGTCAAAATGGCCAAGTCACTTCAGGATGAGAGGTTGATTAAGTTTCTCATGGGATTGAATGACGCCTATGCTTCTGTGAAAAATAGTATCTTAATGATGTTACCCCTTCCAACTGTGGGTCATGCTTATTCCCTCTTGATGCAAGATGAAAAACAGAGGGAAGTTTATGTGAACTCTCACTTTCCTGGAGACTCTTCATCCTTTATGGCTGCAAATCAGAATCAAACAGGTCAAAAGTTTGAAAATTCTGACTTCAAAGGAAAGAAAAACAACCTGGTTTATTCCTACTGCAAAAAATCTGGGCATTTAGTGGATAAGTGCTACAAGATCATTGGTTTTCCAGCAAATTTCAAATTCACCAAGCCGAGGAAGTTTCAGGGACCTGCTAAAAGCAATGCAACATACTCAGTAAGTGGAACAGAGGAACAAAATGCTATTGAAGCAGTGAATGTTAACAACCAGCTCACACAGGAACATGTTTCTCAACTTGTTCAATTGCTTCAGCAGGTGAAGGGTGCACAACTAGTGTGTTCAAATCCAGATGTCAGTGCTAATGTTGCCAATTAAGCTGGTATAGCTCCAAAAACCTTTTCCCCTGTTGTTAAGATGACAACTATAAGATGCCTTCTAGATGTTGCCATCAAGAAATGGTGGAAAATTTCACAACTAGATGTTAACAATGCATTCTTTCATGGGGAGTTACAAGAAGAAGTGTACATAAAGTTCCCAGCAAGAATGATACCACCCAGTCCTAACCATGTTTGTTTACATCGCAAATCACTTTAATTTATGGTTTGAGGCAAGCCTCGTGCCAATGGTATGCAAGGCTTACAACAGCCTTAAACTTCAAAGGTTTTTCTTCCTCTCTTAACGACTACTCTTTTTTTTTTATAAGAAATCAGAGGACTCAATCTCAATTGTAGCAGGTTATGTTGACGACATACTTCTCACTAGAAATAACGAAGAAGATTTAGCTCAATTGAAAAGTTTCCTTCATAATGAATTTCAAATCAAAGATATAAGTGAATTACATTATTTTTTGGGACTTGAAACTCTACGTGAGACCCAAGGTTTAATTATCAGTCAAAGAAAATTTACCTTAGAGGTTCTCGATAAGTTCGATTGCAACCATTTGCCCTCTGTCTCATCTACTCTGGATCCTTCATGTAAGCTCAGCAGTGAATCCGGGGAGCTCCTTTCAGATCCTTCTATGTATCGACTGCTTCTTGGAAAGTTGAACTATTTAACTCACACACGACCAGATTTTTCATATCCAGTGCAACACCTAAGTCAATTTATGCAATAACCTCGCCTGCCACACTTCAATGCAGCTCTTCGAGTGGTTAGATATCTCAGATCAAATCCCGGAAAGACTTTTTGTGTCTGCTGATCCTTCTTTAAAACTTCTAGCATTTTGCGACGCATATTGGGGGTCTTGTGTTAATTCTCGAAAATCGATCAGTAGGTATTTTGTGACTCTAGGAGGGTCACCAATTTTGTGGAAATCTAAGAAGCAAGCTTCAATTTCTTTGTAGTCCGCAGAAGTGGAATATCGATCTATAAGACGAGTAGTTGCCGAAGTCACTTGGTTAACTAGGCTTCTCACAGATTTGTCAATTTCTCCGACTCTCCCTATTCCAATTCACTCAAACTCACAAGCTGCAATTCACATCACTCGTAATCCGGTATTTTATAAAAGACCAAAGCATGTTGAGCTTGATTGTCACTTTGTGAGGCAACAATTCCTTTCCGGTTTAATCTCCTTATCTTTTGTGCCCTCGTCTTCACTACTCGCTGACATCTTCACAAAATTGATTTTTGGGCCTTCTCACCACTCGATTCTCGGCAAGTTAGGGATCGCTACACCCCCTCCAGCTGGGGGAGGGGAGGGTGGCATCAACAATCTCGAGAGTTCTACATTTGGGGCTAATTCGAAGTATGATGAGGGAATTGGGGCTAACTTGAAATCTGTCGAGGCATCTAGACGGAAAACTAAAGACTTATATATTGAAACACATACTAAAGAGTGTTTATGTATTGGGCCACATGCTAAAGAGAGTTTATGTATTGGGCCACAAGGTCTGCTGGTTCAACATAGCCCAACACATAATCAGAAGAAGACGAGCCATTTAGTTCAAATACAAAATAACTGTATACAAAATAACTGTAATACAACTTTAGATTCCTGAATATACCTCTAACGGTATATAGAAATTGTACATAGTACATTAGTACATATAGCTGTATTTTTGTTTATATTGATAGCCAATACATATAAGACAGGTGTATGTTTAATTTTTTGTCCTTATCTATTGAATACTTGTATAAATATCCTTGTACATATTGAATGGAACACAAAGAAAAATTCTCAAGATTTTGTAGCTCCCTATTTCTACACAGGTGCATCAATTTCTAGTATATTATGCTGGAACTTTTCGTGTTGCAGCTAAATAGTGATTATTTTTCAATGACTTTGAAAACGCTAACTATTTTTCAATTATCAATTCGAAAACTGACTAGCCCGTGCTGTTTCACAATTGCAACAACTTCTTGGTCCACAACCATTGGAAAGGTTATTGCCCCGAGACTCTGCGACTGAGCATCAGAATCTAGCATGCCTAGGAAAATAAAGTGGGCCTTTGGGCTTTGGAAGATCAATTTCATTGCTTAGCTTAAGGAGGAGTACATTTGTGTTGGGTCTATTTGCAGTTTGATCATGAAGTCGAAGAAGCCATACAATATGGGCGTCTGGACTTTCGGTTCTTTTTTTTTACCATCCCAAAATCAACCAGTGTAAAAACTAAACTACTCCAAATGTGTTTTTTGATTTTTTTAGTATGTTTAAAAAATTGATACATATCTATCTACCTATATCTATATTCTATATTATTATAAAAGTATGAATAAAATATTGTATTACAAAAATAATCTTTTAATATTAAGCATAATAACTCACAATAAAAGGACATAATCAGATTTCTAGACATTAGCCTTATAATCCTATTAGTTTTAGGACATAATACTACATTACCTTTAGGAATCCTATTAGTATATAATTATTTTCGTGCATAGAAATGCTACATGTTAGCATGTAAACCTAATATCTTTAGGACATATTAGATTTTCTATTAGCATAATTACTTTTGGGATATTGACATATTTTTAGCCATGTAATCCTATTACTTTTAGGATATACTTCTTAAAATATTTCTATTACTAATTTAATTTGAAAATATATTATATTGTTCAAATCTATTTTGAAACAGGAGAGACTATATTATTATAAAAATATGAATATAATATTGATAGACCAAAATAGCCCTAAAATATTAAACAGAAGAATTCATAGTGAAATGACATAGCTGTAATAACTTATATTTTTGGACTACAATAACTTCTATGCTAATTTTTATAATATTTAAGATTTTAAAATTAATACAATCTTTTCTATTGAATTCTTATTAAAAATATTTAGGAAGGTTTAATAAAATTAATTTTTATAAGAATTCTCAATATTAGTAATATATTACTGCTCCATAATATTCAATACCAAGAAAAAATAAAAGAAATGCTACACGGACTGCATAAAGCGTTGAAATTGAGAAAAAACTCTTCATGATAATATATTATTATATTATATTTGAACTGCTTTCCTACTCAAATAATATTTTTTATTATTAATTTTTCTAGTAATATAGAAAAATATACCCAATTATTAAAGAACAACTAAGAAAACTTTTAGGAATATAAATGTGTGAGAAAAGAAAGAAAAAGGTTGGTAAGAGACAATACAATTAGTGATTTTGCAAATATAAAGATCTAAAAGTAGAATGTCATATCGATCTTTTTACTCTTTAAAAATAAAATTTATGGTGGATAAAATTACAATTAGGGCTAAATATTCAAACATGAGATGAATTAATATTAAGAATCTAAATCAACAGAAAATAAATTATATTTTATGTTAAAATCAAATAATCAAATCTTTTAATTAATTATTTAGCAAGATAATCCAATTAAATTATTTTTTAAATTCATCATATGAGTAGAATTATTTTTCAAGTTAAAAAATCTTAGGGTACATAAATATATTCCATAAAAAGAGAGTTAGACATTAAAAAAAATAGATCGCAAAGTAAAAAAAGATTAGTATAATACTAAGAAGGTCATACAAGTGTTTGATGAAGCACAATCAAAGCTAAATTCTAAACAAGAATAAACTTTCAAGACTATATTATAAAAAGTCGACTCTGGTATAGCAGCATTATCCTTTGTAGATACCTCCGGTGGAATCGAAATAATATTCATATATCATGCATTACTTTCAAATATCAGATCAAGAGACATGATATTGTTAGCAATAAGAACAAGTGGTGTACCAGCAACGATTTTATTACGAGGTCGTACAACACTTCTAGAAATCCGGAAAAATCCGTCCAAAAAACCTGACCAAAGTAGGTCGGTAATGGCCAATAACCATCCAAAAAGCGACCATTAACACGTGGTCGGTATTTTAAAAGTCGGAAGAGCATACCGACCAAAATCGGTTGAAAATTACCGACCAACATTGGTCGGTATGCTCTACACGACCATCTGATAGTTTAATTGACTTACCGATTAACATTGGTCGGAATGATATTTTAATAATTAATTTTACCAACCAAATGTCACAACCCAAAATCTCACCACAGACGTCATGATGGCACTTAGTCTCTAAGACTAGGTAAGCTGATTACAAATACATTTCCAATCATTTTTTTGAAATATATAATTTAATACAAGTGTCGAAACCAAAAGTGGAAACAAATATAACAACCTCCAAAGTCTGGTAATACTGTGTTACGAACTCTAACTGAATATATGCAATGATCTCAATGATCGAATATATAATACTGTTCGAATAAGAGTTGACAGTACAATAAAATGAAAAGACTCCAAGGGACTGCGACGACCAAACAACTCTACCTTGAATCCTTGCGATCAACACACTAACTCTGTCCGAGTCCAATATCTCCAATACCTGGCTCTGTAAAAGAATGTGCAGAAGTGTAGTATGAGTACACCACAGTCGGTACCCAGTAAGTATCAAGACTAACCTCGGTGGAGTAGAGACGAGGTACAGTCAAGACACTCACAAGTCTAATAACCTGTGAAATATAGTATACAAAATAATAGAAAGCAAATAACAGTGATAGCAACAATAATCAACTAGTGATGTAAATAGCAAGGCGGCAAGAACACCATAATTATTGCTCAAACGAATAAGGAATACAAATATAACCAATTAAACAAGTCCTTTGAATATAAATATTTCCATATAATTCTTTCAAATAAATACCTTCCGAATATATATTTTCTTTCAAATAAATTTCTTTCAAATATAAAATCATTTCCAATAAAAATCTTTTGAATATAATTCTTTCAAATAAATTTCTTTCAAATATAAAATCATTTCCAATAAAAATCTTTTGAATATAATTCTTTCAAATAAAAGTCACTATGTGACACCTCATTTCATAATCATAAAATATGAGTCTATGTCCACTTTCATATTTTTTGTAATATGG